ATCCAATGATACACTGCTTAGCAAAGCACATTCAATTCACTTAGAAGAAAAAACAGACATTATCCAAGGTTTTCACCAGGCCAGAAATAAAACCCTTTCTTTCACTCCTTCATTGCTTTTATTAATCTACAGAACTTGGGAGCACAGTAGAGCCTCATGGGGTGCTTCCCTCTGTGACCATGGGAACTGCTCTGCTTTAGCCAAAGAGCTGAGAAAACCCATGGCAGGCAGAGCTCCCAGCAAGGGGCTGCCTGAGGTAAGAGTCAGATTTTTATCACACAGTGTGTGTTTGCTACACTTCTTTGACTCAGTTTAAAAATCAAAACAGTTCCTTCCTAGTGGCAAAACAGGCAGAGACACAAATGGTGCGATGCAGAAGATCATGTGGACATGCAGCTGCTTTCCCTCTGCATCTTCACTTGCCTGGGGCAGGACAGCTGCGTAGGCTGAGTAATACCGAGGGAATACTCTTTGCTAGAGGAATCCCAAGAAGATCCACAAAGCTAGTCTTATAGTCCATCTTGCTTCTGGAGAAACACAAACCTGAATCTGAACCTGAGAATGAGGGCAATGTTTTTCTTTACAATGTTTATTTTCTTATACCTCTGATACACAACTGTTCTGCCCAAGAGACTCAAAGCCAAGACCACAACTGTAGGAGATGGAGTAGGGCACAGAGCTCTGATACCCAGAGCTTCCTCATGGTTTTTAAATACATATATCTGCAAATCTCACAGAGAAAGGAGATCTTGAAGTCCAGAAGGGTAAGGAGCTGGGGAGGCAATTCTCCAGTTTCATGGGAAAGGTGAACCTTTAGCTCCACTAACCCTTAAGCTTGGACACTATAGTAAAGAGGGATATGAAAATACAGGCAAATCGATGAGACACTGGAACTTCAAGAGCCCCACAATTAGTGGCACCCAGATGTTCCCATCACCACACAAAAAAGTTATGCTCCAATGAAAAAAAGGATGGGTAGATCTCAGTTTATTAGCTAAAGTCTGGAAGTTATCTGAGAAACTTCTACGTCCTGCTGCCTTCAGCATCCACCCACATGGTCTATATCATAGTAGTCTTAGGCCAAAAAAAGGAATAAAAAGCAAACCAGTTCAGCTGTATTGTGCTACTTCACATCATTCACATCTCACTGCAGAAGCACCCACATGAAAAACATTGCCTGTGGTCCAAGAAGCAGCAGCTCCTGAGTCTAACACTCCCTTGCTGCTTTGTAGAGTTGATAAATCACATTTCTGTCTTACTTCGCTTTCCATGTCTGGGTTTGCTTCCTCTGCAAGATAAGCAGGCTCCCTCAGAACCTGATTTACCCAAGCTAAGTACAGGCCTCCATTTCTTTTCAAAGACAAACCTAAGCTACGATTCCTTGCTCCTGCCTGTGCATCCACTCAGTATGTTAAAATGTCTTCTAGGTGTGAGCAGGGATTGGAGACTAAATCCATTGAGCAATCAGGTCCTGAAAACCTCACTGTCGGGGCCATGCAGTCACAACAACCTGGGAGCAGCATGAACGTGTGCCCACTCAGCTTTGACAAGTGAGGACTCCCTTGTTTGCCTGGGCAAGAAATTTGCCTGTCCCTTTCTAAACCAACCATGCTTCACATAGCAAAGCAACAACTAAGGGCAACCCTACCAATGGTGCTGTGCTTCAATCCAGGACCATACCTGGTGGGGCTTACAAACCCCAAAGTCCTTCAACTCAGGGTGTGCAAATGGGAGCCAGTGGTGACAGTGTGAGATCTGGCCTGGCAAAGCCAAGAACAGAACATGTCTGAGCTTCCACATCATAAGAGCTCAATGGAAACTTCCAAAAAATGCCAACCCATTGATCTGATCTGAGAAATGTCAGCTCTGAGCAACTGTTTCAGTGCTGGAACATAGAGCTTAAGAGAGACCTGGACATACCAGCACTACACACTCCTTCCTGTTTCTGCGGGTACCCAGATTCCCAAACAGCACATGCAAGATCACCATTTGGATCCTGTGATTGCACTGATTAAAACAGGGCAAATCAACGAAATGCATGATCTGACCTGTTACGTAGCGCTTAAAACTGTTTTGTGTCAGAGCTCCAGCACTCCAGCATATATGAAATATATTACCATCTAGCTCATCTATGCAGTAGTGCTCTAGTCTTTGAAGAGTATATAACTAATGCTATTTACAAACAATGCAAGCAAAATGCAAATGTTGCTTACAAATAATGGAATTGTGAAACCATTTGTGCCAACTGCTGCCTTACTAATCAGCTGAAGTTACCTGAAGGCCCTGATGACAAGCTGCATGGAGAAAATAACTGACATGAAAGGACAATCCTGACCCACAGAGCTGCTTTTTCCTCCCACTTTTCCTTTTAAGCCATACACACAAAAGGCAAATTTTCTATGTTACTCCTATTACATACTGATGCAAGTGCGATAAAAACTGAACGCATGTGCCTTAACCTACCTTTTAAAAATATCTTCGCTCCCCTCCTCCAGGCCCCAAAGTTGTGACAGATTAAGTTCTCCTTTGCAGGAGACATTTAATGCTAAGCAAACATTAACAGTCATAACTGCAGAAGACAGCGGCTGACAGATGCTTTCCCTGGCTGGTCCCATCTCAGACCTGTGAGACATATGAGACGCATTTGGCTTTGTCTGAAATGTAGCTATAAATGTTCAGCTTTTTCTTAGGCAGATTATTCTACATTTCTCCCCCCCTAATATGAATTTTATCTTGCAAAGTGATGGGGAGGCTAAAAATCCCCAGCAGCATAGCCAGGAAACATACCCCAGCTGCTCTAATCAGTTAGGAATAAAGTCTAGTTTTTCAAGGCAACGCAATTTTGTTCTCCAGCCACCATTTATTTCCTTCCTTCTGACATTTGCTTTTGCATGCCTTGCAGCTACCTTGAACTTCACATATCTAAAGGCAGCTGCTCAACCACACCCCCCAAAACTGCCAAATTTGTCTTTGCTACCACTGACATTTCCCTCTACCCCCATATCCCTTTCACACAGGATTGAAACCTGTGGTTTCACTTCGATTGCTCCTTTACCTTTGCCTTGGAGATGGAATCACTGGAAAACTTAGGTTGGACAGGAACTCTGGATGTCATTGAGCACAAACACCCACTGCCTCCAACCTGGGCCAATTCCAAAGTTTGATCCAACTTCAAAATTAGACCAGGTTGCTCAGGGTCCCTTTAGTTAAGTTGTGAATATCTCCAAGGTCTGAGATTCCCCAGTTATCCTGGGCACCTCTTCACCCTCCTTGTGAAAATATTTTCCAAAACAGCTGTCCAAGGTGTGTCCAAGTTACCTTGTGGCAAAAGGAACAAGAGCATCCCTCGGATGTGCCAGTCTATCAGAACTCTCAGGAGCACCTTATCTTCACCAGTCTCAATCCTTGCATCTTCCATATCATACCATTCCTACCCTCTGCTGAAAACAAGTGTGTGAACCATTTTCTTGGCCTACCATTCCAACTGTGTAATTCCTACCCCTAACATACCCCTGCAGACTATTTGTATTTCACTACATGAAGTTCTGACGTTGTGCGCTTGCTTGATGGCACATTACAGTCTCCCCATCTTGCATACTTGATAAAAATCACATAATAACCAAGACTGGAAAAGATACCTAGAGGTCACCTTGTCCAAACCTCATACAAACCACTTTTTCAGTCACTTTGCATCTACCACATTGTCCATGTATATCTTATTTTCACGTAAATATCTCCTTGCTGTCAACATGCGTGAAGACCGTGTCCAATGAACTGATCCATTGCTTCCTTTAAAACCTAAGAGCAAATCTGCAGTACCTCCTACAAAATATTAGGCAACAGCTTGAGCAGCAAATGGTGCTAACTCACACCTCGTTTCATATTCATATGCAATGTAACCAAGTAAAAGCAGAAGACATGTTTGAAGCTCTCCAGAACCACTGCCAGCCAGCCTTTAAAGGAATTAGAAAATGTGGACCAGATTCTCTTCCAGGTCAAAGCATCAATTTCTAGAGGCTGTCCCAGCTAAGTCATCACCAGAAATGCCTCTGAAGCTCTACGCCGCACCAGTGGTGAAAGACCACCACAAGCTGGCATTGCTCCATTGCATCCTCTCCCCAGCAATGTGGCAGCCCACCCTTTGGCTTGCAGGCATCGACACTTGGCTCAGCATGCTTGCCTTCCTTCACAGAGCACCCCTCTCCCAAGAGGATTTCTTTGTTCACTGTCTGCAAGCAATATCAAACTCCTTTAAACCAAAGTGGTGGGGTCTGCTAAGAGAACATATCTAACAGGTGATGCCTTCCAGAAAACCCTCTGAGACTGTTATTTCCACACAATCTGCTCCTCTAGATAGAACAGAGATAAGGGCAGTTTAATTAGGAGACCAAAGGGGAACAACTTGCTGCAGTACACCTTGATATGATGGTGAGATGAGCTGTGTATTTCTTACCCCACCTCTCGCACACCACAGCTACACATAACAAGCCCTACAGAGATTCAGAGAAAGCATCTGGAATGCAGAAAGAGAGCGCCATAAACAAGACTCACCTTCACAAATCTCGGGACTTGAAGCACAGTGTCTATTCAGGCCTTTAATTGTCTGTGTGTCCGACGTATCTCTTTCTAGCCAAGCTTGTCCTATAAGAGAAAAGTATGCAATTACTGCAGAAGTCAATAAAATGCAATCATGTTAAATACACAATTTATTAAAACACACCATCCTGATGAATATGCTCAGTCTAATTGCCACCTTAATTTAGTGTACATTAGCACTAATGAAGAGCTTTTAATACCCAGTGAGGGATCCAATTCCTCAGAATCTCTTTAACAACCTTTGGGGTGTTCTAAATGCCCACAGACCGCACGTAAATCTATAGACCCATTACACATGCACCTCATACCACAACAGTATTAGATTAATACCAGCTGCACCTTCAATATTTTATAGGAGGTTTAGACAAACTTTAATCTGCTGTGACTTTACAGCCCATTTACCAGGAAAATGGAAAAGGCAGAGGAAAGGAGATGGAATTCATCTTTGGGAAGCCCAGCCCTGCCATTAGGAGCAACGGCCTGAGATGCTGGGCACTATCCCTCATTCTTCCAGGCAGCTCTCATGTCAAGTCAAGCAAACTATTTCTTCTCCCTCTGCCTCACTGTCACTGCCTGGGAAGCAGCAACAGAGAGCAATGGCAAAGCCATCGCACCGCCCGCCCAAAGGCACTAGATAAACGGGTGCAGGCAGAAGGACCCAGGTGCAGACCACCACTGCCCTTGAGGTGTCAGTTACAGTTTTCCCAGTAAATTTTAATTTCTGCCCTCACAATGCTAATAACAGCCTTTGGCTAGAAAAAGGTGAGGTGAGACTACAGACTGAGGTGCAAAGCGTGCTTATTTGACTGTTGCTTTCTCAGGACATCCTCTCCCAGGTTTTTTCCACCCATCCTCCACAGCCCCGGGCCCTGGGGGGAAGGGGCAACCTTTCACTGTGCAAACCACACCCCATGCCACAAGGGTCCAATATTCACATAGGATTTTGCTCGGCACTGTAACGGACTCACGCATCCTTCACAAATCGATTTGGAATACTCGCAGCTTTACTGAGGCCACTGCTTCCCTGTGAGGGATCAGATAAGTCACCTGGGTCTATCCCTGTCTCACAGCCAGCGTTTCACCATGGTTTCTGGAGAGGGTGCATTTAACATCTGTTTCCCACAAACATTTCTGAATGTGCCTTTGAAAACTGCCTCCCATTAAGACTTCTGTGAATAAAAGCCTATCATTTGTTGTTGGCAGGAAGCAAACAAAGACTTTCAAGGTGGCTGAAACTATTACAATATAAAACATACAATGAATATTGATAGACTTTTTGTTTTGCATTAATCCCTCACATTTAACATCCTTCCTCTGTCGCTATGGACCTCTGAATGATGAGCAGGGACAGCTTCCCTTTTGAAATCTGGAGGATACAAACACCTGTAAGCAATTGACCCATCTCTGCTGCAAAGCACTGAAGGCATCTGCTGAGCAGCGGCTGAAGTGCCCCACTTTACAGTGCTGTGACTGAAGGCTGCCGTGGATCAGTACAGCATTACCACCAATGTAGAAGTTCAGAGGTTGCTACGTGGCTGGCTGGGAGATGGTTGCAGCAGGCTCAGGAACCTCTGGAGAGGGGCTTGATGAGTCTACAGCTAGGATAAGAGACAGTTTCACTGCCTCACAGTAGAGAGCCCCCTTTTGACAGGTAAAGCTCAGTGCCCACCCTTACCTTTTTATCTTTGTCTTTTGTCTGCGGGGACACTTCATCCTGTGTTTTGCATGTGCAACTGAGAGAAAATTTCTTCAGTTGTCCTGTCCTGTGATGCCACTATCCTGGGATAGCTGCTGCCAGAAGATGGCTCTAACTTTAAAGCAGAGATGACACTGTGATGTATAAACCTATCATTAGGAAAATAACCAGAATGATAGGAATCCTGCTCCTGCTGCATGTGCATATAATTAGATCCCTACAAGCCCTCAAAGGTCTGCATGGGAGAGGAATTTTATTTTTTTATTCCTCTTAAGTCACAATATTTTAAAGAAATTACAGCACCACAGAGAGGAAGAACTTAAATGCTTCAGTAGGTACCAGCAGGTGCTTTGTCAGAAGGGTTGAAAGAGCATGTGTGGTGCCAAACAATAGCAACGCTCCATCTTACTCTATGGCCCTAAAGGGGTGGAAGATCCTGCCAAAGAGACTCTCTTTGGTTAATGGCTACAATTTTGTCATTAGGGAGAATTGCAGAAAGTGCAAAACCACCATGCCTAATTGCGACTCGAGCAAGCTGATGCCTTTAATTACGGTCACTGGGGAAACACTGTGGGAGCCGGAGTAACGGCTGAGGCCAAGCCTCCTTCCTTGGGGCCACGCGTGCAAGCCCTGCTGCCCCAGCTGACTGAGCAGCAGTGGTTGGCACGTTGTCCTGCCTCCTCGCTTATCTTACAGCCACTGTGGCAAGTCTTCTGGCTCAGCACTGGCTTTTCTTCACGTTCGCTGCTTTTAGAGCAGCTCTTTGTGAGGAGCAGGCAAACTCATGACTTCTGCTGGTCTCATGCAGCAAGAAAGGCAGCTGGGTAGCCAGAGCAAAGAGGGAGGGGGCAAAGAGGCTGATATAGTCAACAGGTAGCAGGTGAAACAAGAAATGAATAGAGTGCAAGGTGGAGAAGCAAGGCCTGTCTTTGGAAGAAATCCAGTCTCCTGCATGTTAGCCAGTGCAGAAGGGCCACCAGATGACTGGCTTACAGGTGTCCTGCTTCACCAGTGCTTCTAGCTACTGCCAGTCCCCTTTGCTCACCACATGTGCAGGATCTAAAGAAATTGAACCACATGCCAGCCTGTATGTTCAGCCAAAGGAGAAGCTGAAAACAGAAGTCATGTCCTGCTAGATCCCTGCAACAGGTCAGTGCTTTTATGGTGAAGGGTGAGGAGAAACATTTCTGTGGAAGCAAGATCAGACTAATCTCTTGCAATGCCTTCAGAAAAAAGTAAAACATTTGCTGCTCCTAACTGGAGCTTGGCACAAGCTGTCAGCCCCATGCATTATTCTGTAACTATTGCTTCTACATAAATAACTAATTGCACTGGAATTTCATAGTGCTTGCCAAGCAGAGTCATTGCTGTGACATGACTACACTACTGCAAATAAATCAAATTAGATTCCAAAGTGCACTGTGTAACTATGGCCCCTGTGGAGCAGTGATGAGGGGACCTGCACAAGGCCATGCAACTAGATACTGAATTACAGTCAATCTACCTCCTCTTTAGTTGCATTAAAATGCTAATGCCACTGTAACATGGGTCCATTTACCAGTGATGACTGCCTTGCAACACTGGAGGGAATGAAGTTGTTGCACTGCCTGAGAACATTTAATTTCTCAGTACAGTTGCATAAGCAAAGCCCTTAGGGGCATCTTATACATTTAAACAATAACCTGATTGGCTTTTATAACCCTAAAATCATATGAGGCTTGGGATGGTGTTTGAATGAATCTGAGCTGCTGCTAAAACTACCCTAAGTTTCCTACCTAAGCACAGCATTTGGGACAACTGGGCCACATCCCTTCCTGAGCCTCGTCTGCCTGCTTTTAACAAAGACACATTTCTGCCACCAAAAGGCTGTGCATAAGAGCACATCAGTCACATGCAGGAGGAAAAAGAGGGCTGGACTGAATCTCTTAAAACTTCATATAAATAACAGCAGCTTTGCAACAAAACCAATAATACAGTACTTACCATCTATGTTTTGTATTTGCAACTTCACACAATGTGTGCAGAGAATACATGAGATCATATGGAGGTAAAATCTCCCACATGTACGCAGACATTCAAAACGGAAATTCAGAAGTCACAGAGCAGAATCTATTCTCCCAAGTGTTGTAATGTTTGGAAAAGTGCTAGTGTTTGAAGTGCCCATATAGCATCAGGCCACAAACCACTCCACTTCAACGAGTGTAAATGTGCATACAGCACTGCTCAAAACATGAACTGCTCACTTTGGCCCCTTTCCAAGCAAATAATCTCTGGCTCTTTCATACAGCTTTTCACACACAGATATCAGCTGTCTCAGAAAAGAAGGTACTGCATCCAGAACCAACACATCTGATAGCCTGCAACGCTAAGTTCTGTTCCTTCCAAAAAAAGTCCTCAGATAGCTCACAGGTGTATTTTCCCTTGTATTAACTATAGTACATATGGTACTGATTGTCTGTCTTTCTAAACAGATGACCGAAAGATTATATGCACCGATAATATAACAATATTAATTCTGCTTAGCAGGTAAGAAAACCAAGGCTAAAAGGGGAATGGATATGTTAGATCTCCTGACCCACAATATAGCCCTCTGTCCACCAGTCCATATGAAGACCAGTCCCAAACCCATGAAAAAGCTGATCACTTCTGGCTGACAAGTTACACTCTTTGACATGCACCTTCTGTCCCAGAAAGAAGTCTATTTAGCATACAGAAAGGGAGGTGGCTAACTTTGGCCTCCTATGTCTGAAAATATTTCCCTTCAGGATGGAATAAATGTCACCCTCCCAAATGCATCATGGAGTTGCATCACAAGCCAAGTGACATTATCCACTGTCATGCCAGATACTGTCAAGTGCTGAAACACTCCATATGCTTGCACGGCATTCCAGACACTTAGGGCATTCAACATGAAGTGTAAATGCCTGCCACTTTTCCCCTGAGCCTGACACACCTCACCTTTACAAGGACCAACTCCTCAGTGCTCTTTGCTATTCTCTTGCTCTATAGCCTTGCTTTGTTTGCAGCAAATGCCTCAGCAGTTTGTGGCATTCATGATTGTTTTGAAAGATGCAGGAATACATCTCAGAAACACTGGGCAGTTGCTGTGGCAACCTTGTCCTCCTCAGACCATGACTGCCAATATTTTAAGAAGTTTCCTGATACTTTGCAGGCTTCAGGGAAACACTGCAGAGGAGGAACATGATTGATTTTAAAGTAAGGAAGCAATCAAAATGGATTATTATGAGCGACAGGGCCTTGTCCTATCAAAAAGATGATGATCATCTCTCCTTAGGGAGGAAAAGCAGCCCCAGACCAGCTGGTCAGA